CATCTCACATATTTTGGGCACATGGCTAGGAGGAACATCCCTTGGAGAGGGATATCATGCTTGGAAAAGTGGGGGGACAGCACAGGAGAGAAAGACCCAGGATGAGCTGGATTTTCCCTGGAGAAATGAAAACAAGTCTGTCAGAGATGATGAGATTGGCTCAGGATAGGGCAGGTTTCAGAGCTAATGTACATAGGGTCACTATGAGTTACAGGTGACTCAATGGCACATTAACAACAACAGCATGAGCATTTGATGGTCTGTTTCACAGTTGGCCCCTGGCCTTATGCTGACTGATGAGACTGAGTTTATCTGCCATCTCTTTCTACAGATGTAGTGGATTTAATTCCTCTGTATTGCATCAGGCAAGTCTGTGTGTATAGTTACAGTTCATGTTGAAAAAGGGTATTTGCAATGAACAAGTCATTGGTTTTGCAAAATTCTATCATGTGCTCTCCAGTTGTATTTCTGTCACCAAAGCCATATTTTCCAATGTATAACTTTACACATAGGCTTCACCTGATGGACTGCACAGGAATCAGATTTACTATATCTGTGGAAAGAATCATTGAATAAGCTCAATATTAGGAGTAAGAACCAGGCCAGGTGCTGACTGTGGAACTGATTACCAACTCAGCTATAGGCATTAGAAGCAGGAGTGGTTCCTGAGCAAACAACTGTAACAATACCCTTGATTGAGCATACCATGTTTAAGCATGTTCCATCAACACTGTTGAACTAGCATGTACATGTGTCTGTAAGTGAAAAAGGGTTGCTGACTTGAAGAGCAGGGGGTCATGAGGACCCTCATCTTGACTTGTCCTCCTTTGGGGACTAATATTGAGTGAAGAGACCAGTTGGTGTGGAATACATGAAGAGTATGCAAAAATTCCCAAGGTTCTGATAGGACAGATTGTACCTTCACTTAATTTTGCAGAAGTAGAGCTAATGGTGAACCTTACTGTCCTGCATAGTGGTGTTGTACCTATGTAAGCCTATTCAACATGAACAAGAATAGACTAAAGGAAAACCATTTGCCAGACTAGTACTGCTACCTGCAATTTAGTCTGGCACAGTAGCTGAACCTGATGTTCCTTACCAAGGTGGAAAATTTTGGGTAAAAATAAATGACAAATGGGAAGGGGGGGAAGGAGAAATAATAGCTGATGGTAAAGGAATGAATAAATGGATCATGCAGGGAGGGAACTTTAACATTATGTTAATACCTCGAGAGAGACTCATAAAAAGGAAGTAACTTTCTCCAGCTAAACGTCAGAGACCAAAAAAGCAAAGCCAACATATAATTAATGTTTTAAGATTAAATGTGTTAAATTTTATGTGTTTGTGTGGATGTATATGATGAATACTGAGGTTTCTTCTATGTTGTAATATTAAGATATATTGTAAAAATGAATACTGGATGTTAGGAAGATAGATGATATTGTGTTTAGAGGAAGTATACAAATCTGCTTTCAGATAGTGCTGAGTAGATAAACTAAAAAGGGATAATTTGTCCTGGACAAATGTTTGTTTGAAGTACTAGAACTAGAGGATATGAGGCTTAGACAGGGGAAAATTAAACACACACAGTACTCTGAGGAGATTTAAATTTGAATTTATTTGTAGATTCACTTTGGAATTTTCATTGAAAATATTTACATTTGGAGGCATGCAGCAATGAAGAGACAGGCTGTGTTTGAGCATGTTCCATCAACACTGTTGACCTAGCATGCACATGTATCTATAAGTGAAAAAGGGTTGCTGACTTGAAGAGTAGGGCGTCAAGAGGACCCTCATCTTGACTTGGCCTCCTTTGGGGGCTAATATTGAGCGAAGAGACCAGTTGGTGTGGAATACATGAAGAACAATATCCTCCTGAGTTTGCTACTGATGTCCACTTGGACCTAGCTGCTGATGACTGGAGATGAGTTGACCAGAAGCCAAGCAGATGAAGATATTTCATGCTGTGAGCTGGTATTGATTGCTGCAACTTGATGTCTTGCTCTTGACTGGATTTTACCTTATGGGTGCAGATATTAAACATTCTAAGTGAATCAGAAGATTCTACAAAGAAAGGAGCATGCTTGTTTCTTCAGAATGCTGCTTTAATTGTTGGTGGTGGTGGTTGGTGCCATCAAGTGGAGTAGCTACTCTATGAACAATAGGTCTGAACCCTATTCTATCCTGTGTCATCCTCACATTTCCTGACACACTAGACCTCAGGGCTGTAGTCACCATGTCAATCCATCTGGTCGAGGGTCTTCCTCTCCTTCACTGACCCTCTACCTTTCCAAACATCATGTCTCTCTCCAAAGAATAGTCCTTCCTAGCAACATGCCATAAGTATGTGAGGTGAAGCCTCATCATTAATATCACATGCAAGCAAAATACTGCTGATGATCACTTAAAAACTGCTGAAACAGTACATAGATAGGGAAGTACCAGAAGTTCAAGCAGGATTTAGAAGGCGTTGTAGAAAGAATACCAGAAGAATGTCTATGTGTTCTTTGTACACTATGTAAAGGCATCTGACTGTGTGAATAATAACAAGTTGTGGTTGACACTGAGAAGAATGGGAGTCCTAGAGCACTTAATTATGCTCATGTGAAACCTATACCTAGACCAGGAGGATGTTGTGTGAACAGAGCAAGAGAACACTACAAGGTTACCGAAGGGAATGTGTCAGGGTTGTATTCTCTCTCTGTATGTATTCAATCTGTATGCTGAGCAAATTATTCAAGAACCTGGACTCTTTGAAGAGGAATGTGGCATCAGGATTGGAGGGAGACTCATCAATAACCTGCATTATGCAGATGATACAACCTTGCTTGCTGAAAGTGAGGTGGACTTGAAGCACTTGTTGAAGAAGATCAAGGAATACAGCCTTCAATATGGTTGCATCTCAGTGTCAAGAAAACAAAGATTCTTACCTCTGGACCAATAGGCAACATCATAATGGGTGGAGAAGAGACTGAAACTGGTAGCAACTTCATCTTACTTGGATTCACAATTAACATCATTTGTACCAGCAGTCAGGAAATAAGGAGACATTTTGCACTGGCAAAGTCTGCAATTCGGGATCTCTCCAAATTATTGAGGAGTAATGGTGTCAGTTTGAGGACTAAAGTGTGTCTGATTCAGGCCATGGTCTTTCTGATCACTTGCTGTGCATCTGAGAGCTGGACAATGAAGAGGAATGACAGAAGAATTTATACATTTGAGCTGTGGTGTTGGCGAAGGGTACTGAACATCCCATGGACATCCAGAAGAACAAACAAATATGTCTTGGATAGGGTGCAACCGGAATGCTCATTGGAGGCAGGATAAAGAGGCTTCACCGCACATACTTACGGCACGTTGCTAGGAGGGACTATTCCCTGGAAAGGGACATGATGCTTGGAATGGTGGAAGGTTGGCAAAAGAAAGAAGACCCTCAACCAGTTGGACTGAAAACTGTGACTGCTGCAATGGGCTCTAATGTATCATGTAGTGTGAAGATGGCACAGGATAGGACAGGGTTCAGATCTGTTGTTCATAGGGTCACTATGAGTGATATGTGACCCAACAGCACCTAATAATAAAGAGAAGTGAATCTGAACGCAAGTTCTTTATATTTCTGGACCACATTTTCTCATCAGCAAGATGGTGATGGAATAGTTCCTTTGTTTTAGTTCATCTTGGTTTAGATGCTTTAACAGATAGTCTTCACAAATTCAGTGGTTCAATAAGGGTCTTTACCATGTAACATCTAGAGTAGGGGGTTCCAGATTGACAGCAAAGAATTTTTTTCCATGTATGACCCAGACAGAATTGATGGCAGTTCTGCCGATATCAATACATGGCTTCCAAGGACACTTTACAATTGTAGCTTAACAGGATGATAGAAACGTCATGGATTTTTTTTAATAGTCCAGACTTGGAATGTTTCTTTTTCTCTGGACCAATAGGCAATATCATGATATATATAGAAAAGATTGAAGTTGTCAATAATTTTATTTTCCTAAGATTCACATTCAAAACTCACAGTAACAGCATTCACAAAATCAAAAGATGGGTTGCATGGGAGAAAATCTGCTATCAAGGACTTCTCCAAAGTGTTAAAGGGCAAGGATGTCAGTTTAAAATGGAAAAAGTGTGCCTGATCCAAGTCATAGTCTTTTCATTTACATCTTATGCATCTGAAAGATGGACAGAGAATTACTTATGTCTTTAACTGTAATATTAGAGAAGAGTACTGAATATCACATAGACAAAAGAACAAACAAGTCTGTCTTGGAGGAAGTACATGCAGGGTGCTCCTTAGATGCAATGATGGGGAAACTTCTCACATACTTTAGATATATTGTCAGGAGAGGCCAGTCCTTGAAAATAGATATCTGGCTAGGAAAGTTGGAAGATCAAAGAAAAAGATGAAGACCCTCAGTAAGATGGGTTGACACAGAGACTGTAACAATGAGTTCAAATATATCAGAGAACGTGAAGATGGTGCAGGATAGGTTTCCTGTGAGTTGACTCAGTGGCACCTGATGATAAACAATGAGACTTGGAATTGTTGTACATCCCTTTTACCCACATTCTACTGGTCAGAATTCAGCTATATGGGTATACTAAACTTCTGAAATGGGGAGAAATATATTGCATCTGTATGCTGGGTTGTAGATTTTTTTAAAAAGTTATTTTGGTGCCTAGCTAATTTGTTTTTACAATTTGCTTTGCTCAGCAACATAAAGCAGGCTTCTTAGATAGAATAAATAATCTCTAAAGACCTCTCAGCTCTAAAATTATAAATGTGTTCATGTACTACGCTCTTGGTTTTCACATAGTCTTGTTTCAGGAAGTTTGAAAGTTGCTTAACCTTTCTGACCTTTAGAGATCAGCTAACCTAGCCATTCAGTCCAATGCAATGTTTCAGGTGAAAAGTCAAAGAAAAATTGACATACTAACCATATTATTAGGCACCACATTAAACTAAGGTGTCTTTGTGCTTCTTGTCTCCACAGCATGGGTAGGAGCCCTCGCAATGGGCATGATCTTCTTCTGTTCTCCCATTGTGAGTATATTCACTGACCGTTTGGGCTGCCGAATCACAGCAACTGCAGGGGCTGCTGTTGCTTTTATTGGCCTCCATACCAGCTCCTTCACCAGGTAAGACTAAGTAAGTATTGCTGACCACTTCCTCAAGGATAAGGGTTGGCTTCTTTCTGGACTTCAGGTAGAGACATTCTTCTCATTGCTGATCTCCCTTGGTTCTCAAAGTCCCTGGTCCAGGATTCATTGTCCAATGGGACTAATCTATCTAGGGTATTTAACAAAATTTTTTAGAAGATACAAGCATTGCAAAGTCTTAGAAAAACTCCAAACCTTGAAATTCATACAACCGAGTCCAAGTCCAATTTTTCCCACTGAGTGGTTCAGACCACGAACTGGTGTATATTTCTTAAGTTTCAATACTTTCTATTTCCAATCAGGCTATCTGAAGACATATAGCAGATCTCTGTCAGAGATCTCATGAAAGTCTTGAAAGAGTAATGTCAGTTTAGAGACTAAGGTGCACCTATTTCAAGACACAGTTTTTTCAGTCACCTGATATGCATCTGACAGCTGAACAATGAACAAGAATGATAGGAGAAGATTTGATGTATTTGAATTGTGGTGTTGGACAAAAGTGTTCAATATTCCATGAACTGACAGATATGCATTGGAGAAAGTGCAGCTGTAGTGTTCCTTAGAGGCAAGGATTGTGAAACTTCATCTCACATGTTTTAGACATGTTGTTCAGAGAGGCTATTCTTTGGAAAGGGACATCATCCTTGGAAAGGTGAAGGGTCAGTGAAGGAGAAGAAGATACTCAAGGAGATGGAGTGATACAGTATTTGTGGCAATAGATTCAAATGTGATGATAAGATGATAAGGATGAAACAGGATCGGATGGAGTTCAATCTATTGTTCATAGGGTCATTGTGAATCATATTCGATTCAATGGAACTTAATAACAATTTCCATTCAGCCTGGAGACATAAGAATAGGCACAGTGACATGCCTAGAATGAAAGTAGAGCCAATTTGTCAGATATTTTATTTTTGAGCTTGACAATCCAGAGAAGCACTATGCTCATCTTTAGACCTAAGATTGTGAATGTTAAATGTATTCTACCGCAGCTGGGTCCCTTGAGGATGAGTCCACTTTCTCTATGACTTGAGTATTTTCAGTCACCCTGTTTAAGTCTCAGCAGAGCTTGGATGGACCTACAATTATATCTTGACCCTATCCTGTACAGTTAGTACAGAGGAGGGAAAAATCCATGTCTGGAACTTGCTCAGCTCTCCCAGAAAGGCAGCTCAAAACCTTTTCAGGTGATCTCTAGTGATTAACTTTATTTTCCCTCTGCAAAGCTGGAATCTCTTTTCTTATAGGGAGGAGCTAGGTCTCAGAAGTGGCTCTAGTAGTCCCATCACTACCAAGAAGAGGCCTGTTTCGTGTGGCTAAGCAGATCAAAATGTAAATTAATTAGTAATATAACTATTTCATTTCCCATCCAATTCACATTGCTTCCACAACAGAAGAAGGAACTGTGATGTATTTTCCCCTGACTCCTTGTTAAAGCATAGTATTGTTGTTGTTGTAATTAGGTGCTGACAAGTTCAGTACAGCTCATAGAAACTCTGTGAATGACAGATCTGAATCCTGTCCTATCCCGTGCCATACTCATCATTTCTGATATACTCAAGCCCATTGCAGCAGTCATTGTATCAATCCATCTAGTTGAGGGTCTTCCTCTCTTTTAATGAACTTCCACCTTTCCAAGCATGATATCCCTCTCCAAGAAATATCCTCTCCTAACAATGTGCCCAAAGTATGTAAGATGAACCTTGGTTATCTTTGTCTCCAAGGAGCACTCTGGCTGTATTTTCTCCAAGACAAATATGTTTGTTCTTTTGGCAGCCCATGAGCTATTCCGTACCCCAGCACCACAACTCAAAGGTGCCAATTCTTCTGTCATCCAGCTCTAAGATACATAGCAAGTGACTGAAAAGACAATGGCCTGAATCACGCACACCTTAGTCCTCAAACTGAGGCCACTGTCTCCCAGTAATTTGTAGAGATTCCTGACTGTAGACTTTCCCAATGCAATAAGTCTCCTGATCTCCTGATTGCTGGCATCAAGGACATTGATTGTGGATCCAAGAAAGATTAAATAATTGACAGTTTCAATCTTTTCTCCATCTATTGCCTATTGGTACAGTTGTGAGAATTTTTTCTTGACATTGAGATGTGATCCATATTGAGGCTCTATTCTTTGATCTTCTGCAGCAAGTGTTTCAAATGATCCTCAATTTCAGTAAGCAAGGTTGTATCATCTGCATAATGCACGTTATTGATGAGTCTTCCTCTAATCCTGATGCCACATTCTTCTTTATGCCATCCAGCTTCTTTAATAATTTGCTTTACAAAGATCTCACAATATGGACTGCGTAGGAGTCAGCTTGACTACATATGTGCAAGGAATTATTAGAGTAACTCAATATCAGCAGTCAAAACAAGGCCAGGTGCTGGCTGTGGAACAGACCATCAATTACTCATGTGCAAGTTCAAATTTAGGCTGAAGAAAATTTTTAAAAGTCCACAAGAGCCAAAATATGACCTTGAGTTTATCCCACCTGAATTAAAAAATTATCCTAAGTATAGCTTTATACATTGGACACTAATGATCAACAACCAGACAAGTTGTGGGATGATATCAAGGAACTCATCCATGAAGAGATAAAAAGTCATTACAAAGAGACAAAAGAAAGATTAAAAAAATTGATAGATGTCAAGAGACTCTGAAAATAGCACTACAGCACTGAGAAGCCAAAACAAAGGGAAGAGATGTTGGAGTAAAAGAGCTGAACAAGATTTCAAAAGGCGGCTCAAGAAGACATAGCAAAGTATTATAACAGAATGTGCAAAGAGTTGGAGTTGGGAAATCAAAAGGGAAGAATTTGCTCAGCAATTCTCAAGCTCAAACAACTGAAAAACAAATTCAAGTCTCAAGTTGCAATACTGAGAGACTCTATGAACAAAATCTTGAATAATCTAGGAACCATTAAAAGGTGGAGAGAATACACAGACTACTGTACCAAAAAGAATTGGCTGATACTGGAATATTTCAGGAAGTGCCATATGACCAAGACTCAATGGTGATGAAGGAGTAAGTTCAAGCTGCACTGAAGGCATTGGAAAAAAATAAGACCCTAGGAACTGATGGTATACTAATTGACATGTTTCAACTATCAGATGTAGCCCCGGGTGTGCTTACCAGTCTTTGTCAGGACATTTGGAAGATAGCTACCTGGTCAACTGACTAGAAGAGATCCATATTTGTTTCCATTCCCAAGAAAGGTGATCCAACAAAATGTGGAAATCATTGAACAGTATCATTAGTGCATACAAAATATTGCTAAAGATCATCCAAAAATGGCTAGAACAGCACACTGACAGAGAATTTCCAGAAGTTCAGGCTGGGATTAGAGAGGAGATGGCACCAAAGATAACATCATTGATGTCAGATGGGTCTTGGCTGAAAGCAGAGAATACCAGTAGAATGTCTGCTTACACTTTCTTGACTATGCAGAAGTATTTTATTGTGTTTATATAACAAACTATGACTAACATGGACAAGAATTATAATCTCAGAATACTTAATTGTGCATATATGAAATCTTTACCTAGATCAAGAGGTTATTTTCTGAACAGAGCAAGGGAACACTAAAATCAGGAAGGTGTGCACCAGGGTGTATCCTTGCCATTACTTAGGCATACTAGAATAGGCATCCTGTTTCTTCAGCCCCTTGCTTATTCCTCATCCCCTTTGCTCTTTCTATAATAGAATATTCATAGACAAAAAGTTTTCTGGATGACTTCACATGTGGTATAAAAGTGTTTCTGTCTGTGCCTAGTGCTCCTAGTCATGCTTTCAGTTGTCTGAGACAAGGTTCTAAGTTACTTTAGAAGATACAAAATATAGCAGGCTAGGATAGTGAGGCTTTGGCAAGCCCAACTCAGAAGCCTTCTGTCCTTGAGCCCAGGTAGTAATAGGATCCACCACGCAGCATCCATAATTAAATATAGTGTTTTGTCCTGACTGGACCCCTTCCCAAAGTTCTAATTCCTCTCCTTTAAACAAGGAACACATCCCAGGTTAATTCCAAAGAGTATATAATGGGAATAAGCTCCAAACAAACTGACAGAAGAGCAATTGCTTTATGGGTTCCAAGTAGAGATAATTCTTTTGAAACCAAAGCCTTTGCTAATGCCCATTTAATGCAAGCAGAAGGAGAATAGTGATAAGAAGTGTCTTAGAAACATGAATTTTAGAACTACAGAATCTTTGTAGCTTAGACTCAAACTTTTGTAATGAGAACTTAGTCTATTCATGGGGACGAACTACCTTACCATGGAGTGTATTAGATAATTAGATAAAGTACATTGCAAAACATGTGGAGGCATCAAAAAGAAGGCAGGATTCTTCATTAGGTTAGACCAATATTTTCTGAAGGCAGAGGAATGATCAAGTTGACATTTTTATGGCCATATCAAGGTCTAAGAATTTTAAGCTAAAGCTGTCTTATTTGGATAGGATGGCAACATTGTGGAGCTAATCAACACCATGTCCAGCGACAGAGGCAGGGATGTGGACGTTGATTCAACATCATGATCCTCAGGAAATCTCTTAGAAGACCATCAGCCATTTCTCTGAAACATTTATAGCCCTGAGTACGGAGAAAAACAGTGTAGAGTCCTATGGAGGGTCTCTATCTTCCGGGATCTTGGATATTTGCAAACAAATATTGTTACTTTTTTAATTGTTACTTTTAATATAGTTGTAGTTACCAGCCTATTGGTGGATAATGGCTGTGACTATGGCTTATCTAAGTCTATGGGAACAGTTGAAATGAGGCTATTCATTCCAAGGCACTGACTTTCTGTAGCCCCTCATTATTGCATAGGCTGGTTCTGTTTTCTTTTGTAGAATTTTCCTTGACAATGTATACTTAAGAGTCACACAGACCTAGATTCAAATTCATGTTTGTTGCTTCTTGACTATGTGACCTGAGAGAAATATATTACCCCTCCAAGTCTCTGCTTCCTCTTTTGCAAAATGGAGGTCAGAAGGCTCTGTTCCTTGTCTTCTTTGAGAATTAGTGACGGGGCTGCGAATTAAAGGTGGGGGAATGGAGGTCTAAAGGGAGAAGGGTAAGTCACTTGCTGGTCAGGCTGTTGAGAATAGCTCTTGATGTTTCCCCTACAGCTCACTAAGCCTGCGTTACTTCACCTATGGGATTCTTTTTGGTTGTGGCTGTTCCTTCGCCTTTCAGCCATCCCTCGTCATCCTCGGCCACTATTTCCAACGCCGCCTGGGTCTGGCCAATGGTGTGGTGTCTGCTGGGAGTAGCATCTTCTCCATGTCTTTCCCCTTCCTCATAAATATGCTGGGGGACAAGATCAAGCTGGCCCAAACCTTCCAGGTGCTGAGTACCTTTATGTTTGTTCTCATGATGCTTTCACTCACCTACCGGCCCCTTCTGCCCAGCTCCCAGGACACCCCAAACAAGAGGGGTGTCCGCACCCTACGCCAGTACTTCCTGGTTCAGCTCAGGAAGTACTTCAACATGAGAGTGTTCCGTCAACGTACCTACCGCATCTGGGCCTTCGGGATTGCTGCTGCAGCACTTGGCTACTTCATTCCCTATGTACACCTGGTGAGGAATATGAGAGTGGCCCCACCTTACCTAGCCCTAGGGAGCTGCCCTTGATCTGCTTGGAGTCTAGAGGATGGGGGTGGGGGTGCAGGATATTGAAAAAGTCTACCTGAACATTTTATAAGACAAAACGGTGGTTGAAGAGACCCAGGGAGGGGAAAGGTACAGGCAGAGGGAGAATCTTCATGGGAAATGGAAGGAGTTCCTCAAGGGAAGAATAATGGGCTGTAGCTTCCCTTGATAAATCTAGATTATTTTTTATTTTTTTTAAATTTTTTTATTATTATTTGTGTGTGTATCGTTGAATCAGATCCAACTGGTACAGGAGGAGATTGCCTCTCCTTCTCCAATGGAGCCTTTGGGATTGTAGTACAGCTTTTTGCCACTAGGCCACCAGAGCTACATAGATTTTTTAAATTTTTTTTTTAAGAGGAAACAAACATTGTCCGGATGCAGAGGACTGGCCAAGATGACCCAAGGACAAGGTTCCCTAAGGTCTTTATGGTCAGGTGATTTTACTTAGGAAATAACTTAGAGCTTCATAATATGTAGTAATCAATTAAATGTTCTCTAAAAATCTTGCAGAAAAGAATAACTTAGCACATTCAAAACTTAGGTGGCCAAAGAACCTTTAGTGATATCCTAATTGTTCTCTAGAAACACTATGTTTATCAGAACACGCTTTTATAAGAGTTGCCTGGAAATTGGTGGATCCTTCTCCCTTGCTATTGTACCAGACTGTCTGTTCTGGGTAAGATATTAAGGAGATTATAAAAGAAAAAAAAATCCTTGGATTTTCTTATTTGTTATTACTGTGGTTCTGCCCAGGCTTAGAAATATCCTATTTATTTTAGTTGTTGCTCAGAGCCCTGAATCTAGGCAACCAATAGAGGCCTATGCAGCCTTTTGGGCTGTTGGAAGCAGCCAGATGAATTATCCTGGATTTAAAGTTACAGGGGAGAGAGTTCTTGCCCTGGTGTGGGAAAGTAAGAAGAAGGTTCTGGCTATGCCAACAATTAATCAGTAGCTTCTTTTCCTCCTCTTGTCCTTGGGTGATATGCTTTTCAGATGAAATATGTGGAAGAAGAATTCTCAGAAATCAAGGAGACCTGGGTGCTCCTGGTGTGTATTGGGGCTACCTCAGGCATTGGGCGTCTTGTGTCAGGACGCATCAGCGACTCCATTCCTGGACTTAAGAAGATCTATTTGCAGGTGAGTGTGAAGATATTGTCTACTTTGGGGATGAACAGCCTGCCACAGAAGCTAGGTCATCCCCAGTCTTTAGGATAGCATGGTAGGACATGCAAATACTATGCCCTTGGTCCCAGTTCTGACACCAACTTGTCATGACACACGGGAAAGTAAAATTTTTTTAGCCACATTCTCCCTACTTTCAAATGAAGATGACTATCCTTGTTCTGCACTTCACTGAAATGGAGTGATAATTCAATGAGAGAAATGTGTATGTATGAGACCTCTTAAAAACTAGTTACTGTCAGATCAGTTCTGACTCAATAGAAATCCCATGTGTTTCAGAGAATAACTAGCTCCATATGGCTTTAATAGCTGTGACTAGGCCTTTCAGATGGCCAGGCCTTTCTTCTGAGACATCTTTGGGTATGTTCAAACTATAAGTTTTTCAGTTATCAGTCCATAGTTTAGCCACCCAAGGACTCCAGATCCACTCTTGGAACATTTTACGTATTATGTCAAGAGGAGGTAAACATTGTCCGGATGCAGAGCACTGGCCTAGATGCCCCAAGGATATGGTTTCTTAAGCCTCATTTGGGGCTAGTTCTTGAGCCCTGATTCAGTTTCAAGAAAGAATTTCAATTTCATAACCTTGGGAGAGTCTTCTGGAACATGTTAAGAAACAACTAGATATAATAGGTAGTAATTAGAGCCAATTAAAATTAGTTAATGGGGCCTTTGTGTTGTGCAATGTTATTAACTCTTAATTGCCATAATGGATTTGGCTGATAGGTGGGTCTGATTTCTGACTCGTGATTGTATGGTACAAATCTGCTAGAGGAGAAGCTGGGGGGAGTCTCCGTTTTTATTCATACTTTCTGCCTAACTACCCCAAAAGAGCCTGGGTAAAGTTCAAAGGTAAAAAAAAAAAAAAGTTCAAAAAAGAGACTTCATTTCAATTGGCATGGCCAGTACATTTCTTCTCCTAAGAACCTAACAAACTCACTACCAGAAACAACACAGTGAATTTTAAAGCATGGATCAACCTTGATCCTTCCATGTATGCCTGGATAAATCAGCCTGCATCTGCAAAACAGTGGAAAATCCTTGGGCCTTGATAACAGACAGAATCTTATTTCTGTCCCTGTGAAGACCTGGCTCTATTGTCTGCTTCAGGTTAGTGGGGAATGGAGTGGACAATCCTGATCTTCAGTCTGGCTCACAAATAAGGATGTAAATAAACTTAATTAAAAAATAGGTGTGTTTCCAGTAACCATTCCTTCTATGTAGATAGGAAGGACAGCCTATGGAAAGACATTTTCTCTGTTTTCAAAACATTTTGTGCTCGAAGAGATTCTAGTGACTTTTCAATGTCCCTGGGCTGTCTTTGGGCTTCCTAAACCACTTTCCTAGTGGCCTGATACTCCTGAAAGTCCCATTTGCTGTTCTCTCAGGATAACCCACCAAACCCAGAGTTTCCCAGAGCTATAAGAAGCCTAGGTAAACCTCCCTAGTGTCTCCTTATTGCAAAGTTTTTTTCTAAAATCTGATTCCCCACAAAACTGAGTACTGGTACCTTCCTTCTTTCTCAAAGCTTTCCATTCCAACTCCTATTTATTCATCTTTCAAGACATCTTAGCTCTCTCTGCCCTTCCTCCTCCAATCCTTTACTTGGATCTAAGAACAGTAACATGGTTTAATCTCAGAGTAGATACCTGGGGCAGTCAAATACAGAATCAGAAAGCAGATACACCCTTTTTCTCAGGGTCCAGAACAAAGACAAATTTCTTCAGGCCAGGTATACATATCTGTTCCCACTGTTTTTAATTTTATCCTGATATCATCACAGTTAAACTGGAACTCTCTCAAAGAATTTTTTTTTTATCCATCAGTGCAAAATTTGGAAGGTGCCTGAGTCACCATTTAGTTCAACTGCTTTCCTTATTGATATACTCCCACTCTATCTTACAGATGATAAAAATGAGGCCTGATGAAGATGTTATTTGCTATGTGATCTTGACTGACTAGCACAGCATGACCTCAGGTCTTTGCTCCCCCAGGTCATCTCTTTTCTGCTTTTGGGTCTGATGTCCATGATGATTCCTCTCTGCCAAGGCTTCGGGGGCCTCATCGTTGTCTGCCTTTTCCTGGGCCTATGCGATGGCTTCTTCATCACCATCATGGCGCCCATCGCCTTTGAGCTAGTGGGCCCAATGCAGGCCTCACAGGCCATTGGCTACCTTCTGGGCATGATGGCCCTGCCGATGATTGCTGGGCCCCCCATTGCAGGTGAGGCTGATATTCCAGGGAAGGCATATGTGGGGGAATCCCATTTTCTTTGTGCTCTGTTGCTGTTGTGTACCATCGAGTTGGAATTGACATATAGTTGGTCTTTTCAGTGGGTTTTCAGAGGCTGAAATTGCATGGGAAGAGATTGCCTATCCTTCTCCTGCAGAGCAGCTGGCAGATTCGAACTGTTGGCCTTCAGGATTGCACCACAGATTCTTATCTCTAGGCCATCAGAGTCTGTCTGAGGCCTTTTTCTTTGTTTAAGTATCCTTGTAAGAGTGCATAAAACTTTATCACTACTTATGGAAAAGGCTATACACATATACAATACACATATGTATATACAATATACATACATGGACTCATTTTGGGGAGAGTTTTCTGTGGGTGTATATCTATTTCAATGAGATTTTACTGTAGACAGCATGGTTGCTCTACAGGCAAATGAATAATTGCAAGACAGACGGGTAGGAAGAGAAAAGGTAGCCATGGTTTTATTAAGATTTAGAAATATTCCCCTCTTCTACTGGCTTATGAATTGGGTTTGCAGATGAAATTTTATTAAGGTCAGCTCTAGAACTGTTGTTATTGTTGAGTACCATTGAGTCAAAACTAACCAATAACTGGCCCTCCAGTTAATTGCATGAGAGGAGACTGTCCATCCTTTTCCCACAGAGCAGCTGATGGTTTCGAACCATGTGCCTTTGGGATTACAGTGCAGTTTCTTACCACTAGGCCACTAGAGCTCCCTAGCTCTTGATGAGTTATTCTCACCTCCATTAAATGTCAGGCAAAGTGGTGGTTTGGCATTTTTAAGTAATGCCAGTTTCTTCCTATACTGTCCCAAAAGAGCACTGTTGGTACCCCAGGAGAAAACAAGAAACAAGGAGGGAAAGCAATGAAAAGGGAACTTCATTTATTTTCCATGAAATTTGTTGCAAACACTGATTCGTGGTCTAGTCTTTCCTCAGTTGGGCTAACTCTAACAAATACTGTGTAATGTCCTGTGAATGCACTGACAATGTTTTATGATAATGGCAAGAGCATTCCTTTGGGCCCCTTAAGCAATAGTTACAGTGTTCATTGTGGAAAGGAAATGTCCACCTGTCTTTGAACCCAACAGTGTCCTAGAATTCACATCTCTATTCTGCTTACTTCATAAGCAGCTCAAGGGCCTTCTTGCCCTTCTTGACCAATATCTCTGTGTTTATCTTCCCTCTGAGGTGCTCCACTAGAGCAGGAGTGACTTAAATCACTTTACAAGCACATCTATGGGCTTAGGGGAACCCAGCAGAGCCAAAGATATTTGTAAAATAAGTAAAAATTTGTAAAAAAGGAAAGTTCTATTTCCAAACAAATCATATTTACATATAAAGGTTAGAAAAGTCTTTTCAAGGGGATGAAATTTAATCAATAAAAGCTAACTTTTCTAGAGCCCTTTTAAACTCGATTCTCTCTTAACTACATACTGTAGTGTGACTAGAAGTTATCTGTAACTTTTTGAACATCACAATTGGCAAAAATTTGCAGTTTCATTGTTGTTATTAGATGCCGTCGAGTCTTGTACGACTCACAGCGACCCTATGAACAAAAGATCTGAACCCTGTCCTATCCTGTACCATCCTCACACTTCCTGACACACAGAGCCCATTGCAGCAGTCACTATGTCAACCCACCTGGTTGAAGGTCTTTCTCTCCTTAGCCAACTGTCCACCCTTCCCAGCATCATGAATTGCTTAGGTTGGTGTTGTCTGGAGAGAACATTATTCTAAGTGGTACAGCACTTGTCTTTCAGCTTGCTGTACTGAGATAACCTGGGGTTTCTGTGATTTTTAAATCTGTGTCACTGGTGTGTCAAATGCCATAAAAAAAATGTCCCATGGTGGACAGGTTTTGTTGGAACTCCCTGATTAAGATAGACTAGGAAGCAGGATGGGCCACCTACTTTCTAAATTACAGGTCTTTGAAAACCCTGTGAACACTAAATAGAGAGGATAGTTAACAGTTAGTGTAGTGATAAGGTCCAGATTGGAAGTCAGTTAACATGAGGAAAACAGTAACAAATATTGTTTAACAATTGGAACAGAGTGTACATAGCTTGAATGTTAGAAAATTGGAAATTATTAAAATGAAATGAATATTTCATTAGCTCCCTTTATATGAGCAAGAAGCTGTGCTGTCAACTCAAAGACAGGCAGTTCAAATCTACCAACTGCTCCATGGAAGAGAGATGGGCAGTCTAATTCTGTGCAACTTATAACCTGCAACAACCCAGTGAAGGGCCAGTGATGATGTGGTTCCAATGGGACAGCATGTAACAACAATTAACCACAAGGAGTCACTTGCTGTTGTAATAGAGGTTTTATTTCTTCCTTCTAGGATTGTTTGAGTTGAGAAGGCTTTCAAGTCAGGAAAGTCAATATTCTCTGGAGGGACATTGTAAGGCCTCATAAAAGACAGAGAGCACATTTGGGAAGTAAGACAAAGCTAAGTTTGACTTGTCTCTCTTTACTGTTACAGGCCTTCTCCGCAACTGTTTTGGAGACTACCATGTGGCCTTCTACTTTGCCGGAGTACCTCCTGTTATTGGGGCTGTAATCCTTTTCTTCGTCCCTCTGATGCACCAAAAGATGTTCAAGAAAGAGCAGAGGGACTCCAGCAAGGATAAAATGTTGGCTTCTGACCTGGACCCCAACAGGGAGTTTCTGCCGGGCTCCCCCACCCCTGAAGAGCCTATCGAATAGCTCATTGTTGCCATTAAGTGCTCTTCTCCATTCCTTCCCTTTAACCCTGCTCTGCTCAGCATCCGCATTTTTTGCCACCAACACAATTGTTCCCAAACCTGTGCACATACCATAAAACTTTAAGTATTCCAATTTTATTAAACAAATTTTCCCCATGAATGCCTTTAAACTTTCCAGGGCTCTATCCTGCCCAGAATATAGGGAATCTTGGGACCACTCCTTAGCCTATGGAATTTCCTCATGTATTTTCTAACCCCTGGGGTCTTCAAAGAAGGGGATAGGACCTCCTGGCCTATTAGTCACCTACTAAAAGTAATTCCTGAAGGTGCTATTATGTCCCTAGAAGCATAGTAGAGAGATTCAAGGCTCTGTGTTCTAAGGAGTTTTTTTTTTTCATCTGTCTTTAGGAGTTGTTGGCAAGGGGTAAGGTGCTGGGGACGCAAAATGACAGTCTTCTATAGCTGTGGGTGCCACTATTTCTCTTTTTTACATAAATAATTTTTAAATTTTAATGAAAGTTTACAGAAAACTTGGATTTCCATTCATTCATTGTTGCACATTTTCCTCCCTAACCCCACCCCCAGTTCACTTTTTTTTTAAAAAAAAATTCATTCACTATTGCACAGTTTCCTCTCTCTCCCCCTGCCCAGTCCACTTTGCTATGCATTTCTTATTCTGGATTGTTGTCATACAAATAATGCCTAATCATATATTCCCTTTAAAAAGTTATTTTCCTCATCTGTTCCAATGCAGTGTTCATTATTTATCGCCTCTTTTTTCATTTCCCCCAATCCCCCATGTCAGTCCTGCTCTACAACAGCAATGCCACTATTTTACCAATATAAAATATCCTTATGATACAGTCGGTTAATAGTCTACTTCCTTCTTTTCTTCCTCTACCTATTTCTTTTCATGACTTTTTTGACAGATAGGTATTTAGAGAAAGGGGAGCTTAAGCTAATTTGCTTCACCATGGCTGAATACACTCCTGGAACTCATATCAAACCCACTCATCTCAGACTGAACCACATCTCATTTTTTTTTTTTACCTCAAGCTGATAGAATCAGAGACTGGAAAAGTAGAATATAATACTGGGAAGGCACCATAACCAGCTTAGAGTTCTACTCACCAACTTCATATATTTCCCAGGCTATTACATTAACCTGGAAGTTCTCCCTTTTTACCCACATTTCAAAATGTAAAGAAACTCCTTTCATTTCAGCAGGCAGAAGAGGATGATTGTATGGTAGGGGAGAGGCAGTAGTTATTGACATAGTGAAGGACTAAATATTCCACTCTTCATTATTCATGACATATCAATATTTCCACTAGGGTCAAGTCACAGAAGGGATTGTTATAAGACAAAAATAATTCTCAATTTTGATCCCAAAAGGGTACAGGCAGCAGCTGTAGAGAGTTGGACAATTTCTTTTAGAAAAGATAAGTCATCCTTCCTTTATCCTCCAGTGTCTCCTTAGTACTGGACACGCTAGGCATCAAAAGTACCAAAAAAAATTGACTCTAGAATATCTTGATCACTCTGAAGCAGGTATCAGCTATTTCTCCATGCTTAGGTTTGGGCAACAATCTTACTGAAAATCATTCACAGCACCACTGTCTAAAGGTAGAGAGTACTTCCATAATGCATACAATTTATACATTTAAGCTCATTAGGAAGTCAGCTTCTCTTTGATTCTTTGTGTTTCCTTCTCCATTCTCTGATCCACTGTCGTGTTCCTATCATCTCACCTTTCATCATCTTTTTGCTAGACATTCATGGCTGTCACCAGGAACCAACAGTGACTTGCTACACAAGCCATGGCCATGCTGGAACCATGGAGGGTGAATTTGTTCTTTAGGAGCTCAAGAGGACAATGGTTCATCACACTTCTGTTGTTTTCTATTATAAACAGACAGTTGTGACATGGTTGGCCACTGATTGTTTCATTCAAGGCCAAAATCCCAAGATCCCTTTATTGCTTCCAGCCTAGCCACTTATCAGGTCCTCAGAGGAAAACTCACTAGTTCTTGGCTCTGTGGATGAAAGAGGACCCAATTATCCTGTCAGCTCAAACAACAGTGGAGCAGGAGAAGCTGGGTTACTGAAGTCCTGTAACTTCCAAGAAAGATAATTAAAAATCCTAGAGCAGCGAAGTCCCTGCTTCCATTTCTCCTTGCCATGTCTCCATTATGTGACATGAAAGAGGTTCCTCTGGGTGTCCTTTACTGCTCATTGTACAGAGAGCTCTAAAGAATCAGACTACCACTGACTTTTCTCTACATGAAAGACAGATAGTCACAGGCCACAGATCTGCCTATTCAGATATCAAATAGTGTGCGGTATCAGTTTACTTCTTCCACAGGTGTACATACGGGCTTGTGTGCTTTATGAGAATGCTGGTTGGCAAAAGCAGCACATTATTAATATTTAGGATAGAAGACAATCTTATGAACTACAATTAGATCTAGAAGAATGAACAAAACTTGGGAGCTTAAGACCTGGGACATTTAAATCCTCAAGTGGTTTGGAACAAAATAAACTCATCTGAAAATCCATTTTTTTTTATATACATGGTCTGTAAGGGTGAAAGAATGTTTTTGTTTGGTTGGGTTCCCCCCCCCACCTTTTCATTAGTTTCTTTAAAAAATTCTGATTTGAACAAATTCTTTACATTTCCCTCACCCCTCCAACCCATCAAATTGTACAACCCAATGATTAATCTCCTCTTCCCCCTGTACATCCACATCCCTCTGCTTCCAGTCTCTCCCACCCCTCCTGGATCCTTATACTCATTCTTCAATAACAGTCTTATATAATATTTATCCTTATGGGACTGAGTTAAGGGGTGCAAGAATCTTAATCTGGTTAACAGCAGAAAGTTTGGCATCAAGACTGAAATATCACATAAAATCAAATCTCTACCAGGGTTTATGATCTTTGTGAGAACAGGAACTAATATGCCTATGCCAACAGAGTTGAACAGGCTAATCAGAATTGGATTTTTTTGGGGGGAACTCTGAAATGCATTACCAAAAAAAGCAATCAACTTGTTACAAACATGACATGTTGAAAATTGTCAAAAATCTTAGAAATAGTAAAGTACAACTCCCTTTTCTCTAGCTTATATTATTGGTGAGGAACTGAAGAATCTAATGTAACTAGGTCACATAGCCAGGCAATGAAAGAACCTAGAATTGAAGGTGATGCAAATGAGAGACATATAAGAATGACAAAGCTGGAAGTAACCCTTACCCAGTTTCTTTTTTTAGTTTAAGTGGGGAAACTTGGGCCCAGAGAGAGGAAGGGACTGTCATAAGTATATACAGTTTATCAGTTAAAGAGTAGGTTTAGACTTGATCTCAAAGACTTGATTGCCAATTCAAGTCAAACCTTTCATTTTATAGACAAGGAAACCAGCTCAAGGAGAGAATTTTGACTTCTCCTTCATTCAACAACCATGTTGTTGTTGTTACGTATTGTCAAGTTGGAACTGACCTCATAGCTAGCAGGTTTTCATACACAATAAATCACAGGGGAGAAGACAGACCATCGTTCTCTTGTGAAGCAGCTAGTGGATTTGAACGGCGTGTTTTTGGAATGGCAGAGCTCTTTACCACTAAGCTATCAGAGCTCCAAAAAACTATGCAGTAAGCCAATTTCCAAAAGGTCGTTAACCTTAAGTACTAGCCTTAAGTAAAACATGAAAGCTGATCAAAATCTGACTTTTAACACACTCAACTGACATGTTTCTTTTCCCAAGCACAGATCTTCACGCAGTTGGGCTTGAAGAACTGGTCTTCCCTACTGCCCTTCTAAACCAAGAAGTACAAATGAAGTCTATCTTCATAAGGCCATATATTGGGTGGGAAGGGAGATTACCATCTAGCTTTTGGTAACTGTCATTTCTTCCCCCATTCAGTGGCATCAAAAGCTCCTTTTGGTTCCTTCCATTGAGCTCCCTCTAATAGTAACCAGGAACAGTTTTGGTATTTGCTAGATCTCATAAACTCCATTAGAATTTAAAGACTTCAGAAATAAAAAGAATAAAGATAGAGAACGCAAACAGAAGAACACAAGAAGAAATCACACTATATTAATTTAGACACCCTTTCCTCCTTTGGGAATCAGACATCAATTATGTACTGATTCAGGTATCAAAATTTGGTCCTCTCTGAAAGAGGACAGGGATCATCAAACATTGGGACAGAGAACATAGCATTTCCCTTCCCTTCTTTCACTAACATTGGCCTCTCTGAAGTCAGATCTCACCAGAAGAGCTCCACTGTTGTCAACATTGGGCTTGCTGAGGAGATATTCAAACCTAGAGTTGCTGTAATGAAGGATGCTTTGGGCAGAATATTAAATGCTTCAGGAAGTATTAAAAGAAGATGGAAAGAATATACTGAGCCATTATATAGAAAGGAATTGGCAGATACAGAGGAATTTAAAGAAATAACATATGAGCAAGAGCCTATGGTGATGAAGGAAGAAG